ATAACTAACACACACACACATATATATATATATATATATATACAACATATATATATATATATATATATATATATATATATATATCCCGCACAAGAATCATTGCAAGTGTATAAGTGTGTGTCGATATCCTATCATCTGATGGGTGGGTTGCTACTTCTAACGACGCGCAATGGGGAGTTGTGGGTTGGTATGCGATAGCCACGGCCTTTACAGAGCCTCTTAACAGCTTACATTTCGCTGAGCGGCACTTTTGTGATCTGCATAGTTTGGTGGAAGGAAAGTAATTTCATACGCATTGGCTGGTGTGTTGTAGACTGATTGTGTACCGTGTTGGAAGATTGTGGCAGCCCTCTAGTAGACTCTGCGTACAACAGATAGTGGGTGTGACAATATGTGATGGTGAACTTATATATATTCAATAGTCTTTACCTACAATATATAGTGAGTGTATTTAGGTACACTTATATACTCAATAATATCTACCTACAACAGATAGTGAGTGTTGAACTTACATATGGTCAATAGTCTCTACCTACAATATATAGTGAGTGTACGTAGGTACACATATATACTCAATAATCTCTACCTACAACATATAGTGAGTGTGACAATATGTGATGGTGAATTACATATAATCAATAGTGTCTACCTACAATATATAGTGAGAGTGTCCATATGTGAGGGCGAACATACATACATTTAATAGTCTCTACCTACAATATATAATGAGTGTATGTAGGTACACATTTATACTCTATTCTCTACCTACAACAGAGAGTGAGCTTGGCAATCTGTGATGTGGGTACACCTACATATAATCAGTAGTCTCTACCTACAATATATAGTGAGTGTGTGTAGGTACATCTATTTATAATTAAAAGTATTTACCTACAACTGATATTGGATTACATTCTCACGCAGACTGTAGTGTAGGTTTCTTATCCCCAAAATCCGAAGTCTATATATGTACATCCAGACAGAAGTTCGGTACTTAATCACAAATATACACATCAAGTTCTACACACTAAGCCCTAAAACCTTTCCATACAGACAAAAGTTAGGAGGTCTCGGAGACGGCGCGTGTGGGGGGGGCCTTAATGGGGGTGGTCTTAATGTGGGTGTTTTGGGGGGTCTCAAACAGTCGCACGCGCGCACGAGTTCGGCTGGAGTGGGTGCAGGGGCTGTGGGAGGGGATGAGAGGACGACACTCACCGAACAAATGCGCCGCATGGACTACGATGTGTGGATTGAGTTAATGTTCCAGGAGGTGAGTGTGCATGTCATGGGTGTGTGGGATGGGGTGGGTGGGTGTTTATGTACTATGATGTGTCATGAGGTGAGTGTGCATGTCAAGGGTGTGTGGGATGGGGTGGGTGGGTGCTTATGTACTATGCTGTGTGGATTGAGTTGATGTATTATGAGGTGTATGTGCATGTCATGGGTGTGTGGGATGGGGTGGGTGGATTGGTTTATGTACTTTGTATTTAATGTGGTTGATGAGAGTTGACGGCAACAAACCCGATCCGGAGACCATAAGGCTGAAGCGTAGTACAAGTCTTCTGGTGTCAGTTGTAGCCTTGGTAAACCCTAAACCCTAAACCCTGGTGCCGTTCAGCGCACCGACTGATTCCTTCACATTATGACCTCATCCAGATCTCTACTGGTGCGATGGTATGGGCCACCCTCTGTCGCCGGCAGCTACACATGCTATGCTAAATACCTACTATCACACCAAACCCTAACACTATCACACGACCATCGTACACGTACTAATACCTCCCCCCCCAACCTTAACTCTAAAACCCTATCCCTAAAACCCTAATCCCTAAACCCTAAACCCTAAGATCCCCTCTCTCTCCTCCTTCTGCAGTTCAACATGCTAAACACCCTACTGTCCAACGTGTCCATAGCCCACGAAGTCATCACCAACGCAACCTTCCAGGTGCTAGCAAGTCACAGCCACAGCCACAGCCACAGCCACAGCCACAGCAACAGCCATAGCGGCACACACGGCTCATACACGAATGAAAATGGGCCTCAGCAGTGTAATGGATCACTCTCCAGACCCACCAGACCCACCACAGCAAACAGCACCCACACAGGAGGAGACGGTACACACACCCCTGCAAATACAAATGCAAATACAAATGCAAATACAAATACAAATGCAAATACAAATGCAAATACAAATGCAAATACAGCCACGGGAGATGTAAGTAAACAGTGTTAGGAGAGCCTGTGTACATGTATGGGTGTTTGCGTGCTTGTGTGTTTGTGATTCTTTTCTTATATACATGTGTAGTGGTCCGAGCAGACCCACCATACCCACAAAAGGCAGAGTGGCTAACACAGGGGGATATGGTCTACACATCCCTGCAAATACAAATACAAATACAAATACAAATACAAATACAAATACAAATACAAATACAAATACAAATACAAATACAAATTCAAATTCAAATTCAAATACAAAAACAAATCCAAATTCAAATCCAAATCCAAATCCAAATCCAAATCCAAATCCAAATCCAATTCCAATTCCAAATCCAAATCCAAATCCAAATCCAAATCCAAATCCAAATCCAAATCCAAATCCAAATACAAATACATATACATATACAAATACAAATACAAATACAAATACAAATACAAATACAAAAAAAATACAAATACAAATACAAATACATATACAAATACAAATACAGCCACGGGAGATGTAAGTAGGCAGGGTTAGGAGGACATGTGTACTTGTATGGATGTCTGCGTGTCTGTGTGTGTTTGTGACCATTTCTTATACACATGTGTATATGTATGGGTGTGTGCGTGTCTGTGTGCGTGTTTGTGATTCTTTTCTTGTATGCATGTGTAGTGATACGAACAGACCACGCAGGCACACAGGCCCAATCTCACACTCATATGAAGACATCTACATGTGATGGATCAGGACGAGACATTAATACATGCACAAATGTATGGCACACCAGACACTCATCTAAGCACATACATGCATACTTACATACATACATGCATACTTACATACATACATACATACTTACATACATACATGCATACTTACATACATACATGCATAATCACATACATACATGCATACTTACATACATACATGCATACATACATACATACATGCATACTTACATACATACATGCATCCAGTAAACCAAACACTCACCTAACTACATATCCACCTACTTACATACATCTATCCCAGAAGTCGCTCTACAGGTCAGGTGCCGAGAAGAACGTCTACGTGGACACTATCATGAGAGTCAGCTCAGACATCGTTTGCGGCGCATCGGAAGGTGAGTTATAACAGAGCACACACACACACACACTGTATTGTGAATGCTCACCACCTAGCAATAGCTTATGAATAAGATCCTATTTCCAAGTGCGAATTCAAAGACCAGCCTATATATCTTTATATACACCCTCTCTCATGGCTCTCCTTTTAAAATAGACTATATACGGTTGTATGTATATATGTAAGTATGTATGTATGTATGTATGTATGTATGTATGTGTGTGTGTATGTATGTATGTATGTATGTATGTATGTATGTATGTGTGTGTATGTATGTATGTATGTATGTGTGTATGTATATATGTACCCCCTTTTTTGGGACCCTGCTCCTTCTCCGTCCAACCTTTTATGGGCCCAAAGTCTATGCACCTGTCCAATGTACCTCAGGTACATTTGTCCAATTGTTGGTGTCTGGATAGCAGCCATGTAAATATGCACAGCAGCTATGTAAATATGCACCAATCACCGAGCCATATCCGCATCTCCCTTCCCAATGTAACCCCCTCACCCCAACTCATCCCATCCCATCTCCTCCCATCTCATCTCTAAATGCTAAAACCCTAAAACCCTAAAACCCTGAAAACCTAAACCTCTAAACCGCCATCCCCTCCCAGTCATGCACGTGCGCTGTGCGAAGTTGCTGCAGCTGCGGTCAGATCTGCTGCCCAAACTCAGCTACGACCAGTTCAGTCGGCTGTATCGCATCATGTGTGACTTTGTGGCCCACACAGACGACGCAGTGCCCCGCAGCACCCCCGGGCTCAGGGGAGACTTAATATCTATGTCCAAGATATTCTTTGCTAATTACCATAAAAGGAAGAAGGTAGGTAGCAATGTGCAAGATATTGTTCGCTCATTACCATAAGAGGAAGTAGGTAGGTAGCAGGAGCTTAATCCATGTGCGATGGGTGTGGGTGTGGGTGTGGTGTTCGGTGTGGCGCAGGCGTAAAGATGCGACGCTGGTTAAAGCTGCGGTTGGGCGATGATGGCGAGAGGTGTACCGATGAGCACCGCAGAAAGTAGTAATATTAGGAAGTAATAGTATTAGGAAGTAATAGTGTTAGGTAGTAATAGTGTTAGGTAGTAATAGTATTAGAACAGAAAACTATTAGAAAGTAATAGTATTATAAACTAGTATTATTAGAAGGTACTAGTATTAGAAAGGAAAAGTATTAGAAAGTATTAGTATTAGAAAGGAAAAGTATTAGAAAGTAATAGTATTTCAAACTAGTAGCACTATAAACTGATAGTATTGTATTTCAGACAACAACAGTCCTTGTATCGCAATACGCACTGCCCCGCTTGACTGTATGCGACTCGTTCACGGGTGAAAGTCTCTCATGTTCTCATATTCATATGCGTTAAATCTGCCACAGTTTTCCGCACAAAGTCGTGTGCCGCACCCGACACTAGCGTCAACGTATTCAACTAAGCCACACACGCGTACGTAAAGGTTGCTATTTACCCAACACTCAAGTTTCCACAGTACACGCAATGCACCACTTAAACGCAAACCAAATACGTTTTGATATCTCTAACCAAACGAAGTACAATTAAACGGTTAAACGCAGACGCAACTACAAATGTATCTCGATAATGAGAGGTGGGTCAAAGCGGATGTTGCATCTGAATTTCAGCAGAGCGCCAATAACTTCTTCAAAGAACACTATGAAGTGGCTGAAGGGGAGAATCTCGTAGGTATGTCAGCACAAACAGTCGTCTTTGGGCATGTATTGGATTGGATATAGTTGGCTATATACCATATACATAAATACATACATACATACATA